TATACCCTAAAATGCCATACATATAGAGCCTCAAAGTGGACCCCGATTGTAAAATCTGGTTGGCTCGTGGGTCCGGCACGACAGTCCGACATTCTTGCTTTCGTAAAGAAAAATAGTGCGTTGCGTGTTGTCTCACCGCTATTTGGTTGTATAGGCAAGGAGCCTTCGCCCGCGATGAGTCTGAGGTGTCGCTTGCTTTTGATTGGTATATGGCGGCACGATTGCTAATGAACTGTTTTGCCTCTAAAAATCTTCAAGTTTTTAGCACATTGTCTGGAGGACAGAGCATCGACGCCGTGGATGGGGAAAAGGGAGCACAAGGCAGATGGAAGTGGAGGAGTGGGCCCGGTGAAGAAGAGGACATGAGGCTAGCGGGGTTTGCTGTTGGAGCTCGGCTCAGTGGGGCACACCTCGGGCTGCTACTGCTACTGCTACTAGCGGGATCGTTCCAGCTATATTTAGTCTATTTTGGTTTTTACTGTCTACTTTTCTCAGGCAAATGGTTAAGGAAGCTTGGCACGTTGCTGTTGAGGATGGGGGATTTCAACTGTTTTCTATTAAACCACTTTTGACAAGAAAAACAAAATCAGTTTTTTCATGAATTATAAAAAATGTTACTGATTTTTAAAAATCATTCACAAATTAGAAAAATGTTCAAAAATTTAATAATTCTTCATTAATATGAAAACAAATCATAAATTTTAGAAAATGTTCACAAATTTGTAAAAATGTCCATATTAAAAAAATTCACAAATTTTAGAAAATATTCACAAATTCGATTTTTTGCGGATTTAGAAAATGTTTGTGAATTTCAAAATTGTTCTAAAATTGTAAGATCCGCAAAAAACCGAATTTGCACTAGTGGCCCATGTATAAGCGGGTATTTTGCACTTTCAGGTTGTTTGGGCCTGTTCACAGGTTGTAATGGTCATATGATGTTCCTTTTGTTCCAAAAAATGCGGTGTTCTTTTTGTCATGTTTCAGCATGTGTATTTGCTTGTGGTCAATTAATTTTGTGGCTGCAAAGAAACTCATGCAACCACCACGGGTCACCATCGAGACTAAAATGTGTAACAATACTACAACAAACGCCGAACAATACAACCTTCCTCTCAAAACAAAAACCTCATGGAACAATAAGCCAAGCCAGTAACAATGAAAGAAAGAACCAACACCCCCAACATGATTAAAGTCCAACCAACAAAGATAAAACCAAATTGAACCAACAGACCGTAATAACCAAGTCTAAGAGGTCCTGTTTGACGTGTAAGTTGTGACACGCAAGATAGCAAGCAAAATCGATACGTGCGTATTGCGCTGGCAAATTTTTTCTCAATTAGGTTTTCATCCAATTTCTTTTGGTCATATTTTACTAAATATTTTCAATTTTTCTAAAAAAGAATTAGGATAGCGAGTAAACACGCAAGGCCACGACAATGTAGGTGTGTGTTGCATTTGTGTTTTTTTTCTACTCCATTTTCAACCTTTTCTTAGTTTTTTTATTAAAACACTTTCCAAATTCTAAAAGTATTCAACATTTTTTGTGAATTTCTAAAAACTCTCCACAAATTATTTTAAAAATCTTTAATTTAAACAGTGTATGTAAAATTACATTTCCCACAAATATTAAATAAATACTGATGACTTATATTTTTTTCACTATGTTTACAAACAATTTATGTGTTTTAAATTTTTATGTCACTTTTAAAAATGATCACAGATATAATAATGTTTGTTGAATTTAAAAAATGTTCACAAATATGAAAACATCTTCACGAATTGTCAAAACAAGAAGAAATTTTTTATGATTCCAATTCTTTCCTCAGATATAAATTATGTTTCCAAATTTCATAAAAATATTCATAAATATAAAAATTCTCAAATTATACATAATAAAACAAATATAAAATGAACAGAACAATGAAAATGGATAAAATATATACATTTAGAGAAAAAAAGATAAAAAAAACTTTCCGGTAACCCCAATAGCCGTCCTACATGGGCAACCCAATAGCGCCATCGGAGTCCGCGTTTGTTCGACTGCCTCTATGGAATGAGGGGAATATGAATTGCCATAATAACCCTTGGAAGAAAATAGAATTAATTTCATAACTGAAGAACGGTGTGGGAACGTGTGTGTTACCCTCTAGTATACCTTAAAATTTCATATATAATGACGGTTTCCAAATGGCCCGCAGACTAGTAGCACGGGTTTATTTTCGGTTTTCCAGTTTCTTTGTTAGTTTACTTTTTATTTTATGGTTTACCTTTAAGGTTTACGGATTTTTTTTTGTTTCTGTTTTGTTCTTTTTCCTTTTCCTTTATAAATTATTTATTATGAAAACAATTTGTGAATATTTTTAAGATGAATAAACTCTTTTAAATTACAAGAATGATTTTCCCAATATGTGAATATTTTTTATTCATTGATATACATTAAAATGTGTTCAACATTTTTTTATTTACAAAAATTCGTGAATATTATTTCTTAAATACACACACATTATTAAAAAATACATGAGCTTTTTAAAACAAATAAAAGATTTCAATGTTGCGTAAACCTTTCAATATTACTTGAACCATTTTATGAAACCCATGAATATTTATTAAACAATGTGAACACTTCTTATATACAGATAATTATCTTTTAAAATACAAAATGCTTTTTTAAAAATACGTGGGTATTATTTTAAAATTATGGAACATTTAATTCTGACCACACAAAAATTTTTACTTACACATTCTTGATAATTTGAACGAACTATGCAAAAATAAAATTTTGTACTTGTGTCATGGTTATTACTCCTCCATCCATTTGCGAATCCTCAAAAAGTTCATCAAAAGTCTTGCTGAGACCGGTCTGCATTTCTCTGGCTAGTTTGGTACATTGACCACCGGCGTGTCGACATGGGGTTGTTGAGGTGTTTTTCCTCAAATACTACTTACAACAATGAAGGGTTATCACCTTATTTCTATAACAGTTAGATGTAATCTCTAATTACCAGATGGACATTCAGACACAAATTTTACCAAGGTTCAGGGCCTTGCTTGACGAGTAAGGGCATCTCCAACGTTGACCCTGAACCACCTGCAACCACCTGCAATCGTCCGGATCGCATGGCCCTGTGTTTTTCCATCCAACACGGTTCTGTATTGGTCCACGGGCCGGCCCGGACGTGTTTTTTCACAAGCTGGAGACAAGGTGGGGGCAGCTTTGCAGGCGTCCAGACCACTGCCAGTCCACTCCTGACTAACCTGGCCCATCAACCCTCGTCCACACGCGTTCACGCTGGATGATAGCTGCCCGCATTCATGCAATTGTAGAGTGGCCGCTCCGCATTGACGCCGGTCTAAAGCGAACACGACATTTCACTGACACCAGCATTGAAGTGGCACGCTGGTCAAGATCGCCGTGCGTCGCCTTCCTGGTGTCCGCGTATTTTCAATGCCGGAAAGAAGTTTACTGGTGCCCGTTCAATTCCCCGCCGGCCGAGGAACCATCTCCGGAGCAGCGCATCGACGCACCCAAACCGCTTGGCCCAACCGGAATCCGTTATTTAGAGGCATTCCAAAATACCTTTATATACATCCGTATGTAGTTCATATTGAAATCTCTACAAGAGTTTATATTTAGAAACGGAGGGAGTAGATCTTATGTAATCAGCTAGGTTAATCTTGCAGATTTTGAGGCTTCAGACACTTGTGGTTACGATAGAAGATGTCCTTGCTTCCACATTGAGTATTTGTCAATTTATTCGGGTCTTGGTCGGTTGTCTTGGCTGTCTCCGCCTTGGTCTTCTTGTTCGCCTTCGCTTCGAAATCTTGGTAACATTGAAACACGAATCTTGGTAAAAAAAAAAAGGAAACTTGGTAACCTTGAAGGTGGCACGTTTACCGAAGTTGGTGCTCTGGATGTGTGTGTGTGTTTTTTAGAAATGGTGCTCTGGATGTAGTCCCTTTTTCATCCCTTTCTGGACTTCTTTGGGCCTGGCCCGGGTCCCCTCGATGAAGGCCCACGTCAAGATAGAAAAAGGCCCAGCACCGTGTCTGGTCATTCGACCCGGATCGGACCGCCTACACAGAAAGTAGCTGCTCTTTTGTCTCAAGAAAAAAAGTAGCTGCTCTCAGTTCTAAAAAAAAATAAAATCTCAGTCTCTCTCGCGTGCGGCTGCGGCGGACAGAGGCGGCGTCCCGGCGGCCGGCGGCGCTCCAAATAAACAAGGTGACTCCGGTCTCCCCACCCTCCTCCAAGTTCGATTCAACCCCGCCGCACGGAGCACTATTTCTCCATATCCACTTCCC